CCCTCTGCCTGTCTTCAGGTAGCACCACCCTTTCTCCTTTCCCGGGGCCTCCAGCCCTTCCCTCCAGGTTCTGAGAATGAACACATCACCCTTCTCCAGGGCCTGCTTCCCAGAATCCTGAGGTGAAGCCAGAAATCACAGGTGTTTTTTAAAAACCAGTTCACCTCCCTTCTCCTGTGAGGATGAAGGACTCACCGCCTCTGGCTGGCCGCGGGCGGCTGGCTGTGGTGGACGTACCAGTCGGGCAGGGAGTAGGCGGCGGGCGAGCCCTTCCTGGAGCCGGGTGCCAGGTGCATCAGCAGATCTCAAAAGCAAAGGGGCAGGTGAGCGGCTCCGCCCCCCCGGGCACACCCACGGCCAGCGGGCACAGGGTACAGGGATGCCGACCGCCCAGTTGGCTCTGGGCTCCGCGGCTATAGGAACCGGGTGGCCCTGGTCCTCAGCCCCCTGTGCACATGCTGAGGGCGTCCTGCCTGGTGTAGAGGAGGGACATCCCATGCTCGCCCATCCCCTCCACCCTCCCCCAGCCCCCCGGGCCTAAGCAGGCATCTGCAGCCTCCAGCACCCACCCCTGTCCGCGGTGGGTGGTCGCTTCAGGCTGACATCTGAGGGGCCAGAACTCCTCAGGTCTCGCCCTGCAGCCTGGGTCAGTCTGGTCTCCTCTGCCTCCGAAGGGCTGTCCCTGACCCCACAGCAGTTTAGGGAGAAGTTGTCCTGGCCAGCGCCACCCGCCTGCCTCCTCTCTGGTTGCTCTGGCCTTCGCTGCCCGTCCTCCCCACCCCCCAAGGGCTTTGCGGGGGTGGGGCGGGGGGTTAAGGGTTGGTTTCAGCAGCGAAGGGAAGGTAGGAGCAGGGGAACAATGGCAGCAGCCAACAGGACTGCCTTCTCACTCTCAGTAAGAGAAGTTTAACTTTCGATTTTTAAATATTTCTGACACTGAGAATAGTTGCAAGAACAGGACCAGTTCTGCTGTAGGCTTCAGCCAGATCCCCAGGCTCACCTTCATCCTCCCATCTGCCTTCTCCTCCTCCCCTCTGCTCTGTCCCGATCACCACCTCCACCGGCACCCCTCTCTCTAGCTCGTCTCTGTCCCCCATTAGTACTCTCACTGCCATTGCTGGAGATTAAGGCGGACACATCGTTAATCAGATTTGCCGGCTGACCCCTCCTGTCCTCTAACCCCGGCCGGAGCGGGCGGCCTGCCCGGGTGCTTCATGTGGATGAACCTGAGGGCTTGCTCTGGCCCTTTAACATCGCAGCCGGAGGCTGTCATTTTGGTTTTCATTCCCCATGACAACCTTCTGGGCCAGTGGTTCTCAACCTTCCTAACGCCGCGACCCTGTAACACAGTGCCTCATGTTGTGGTGAACCCCAATTTCATTGTTACAGATTGAACATAATTAAAGCATAGTGATTAATCACAAAAACAGTATGTAATTATATATGTGTTTTCCAATGGTCTTAGGCGACCCCTGTGAAAGGGTCGTTCGACCCCAAAGGGTCGCAACCCACAGGTTGAGAACCGCTGTTCTGGGGGGTCATGGCAGCCAGAAAACAATGGCCAGCACCCTCAGTGCCCCCTGTGAAGAGGGCAGCGTGGGGCGTTGTGGGCAGGTCCTTCCCCCGGTCAGCCAGGCGGTGCCCTCTCCTCAAACCACAGCTGGGCTCACCGGGTGCCACTGCCCAGGACCCTGAGGCTCAGGACAAGAGCAACCACAGGGACAGGCACCTCGCAGGCCGGTCCGCAAGGACGGTGAACTCTGCCGGGAGCAGCTTCCTGAGGCTCTGCCGTGAGACCGCGAGACGAGAATCACGGCAAAGGTGGGAGCAAGTCCCCCAGGGCCAACCCCGGGTCCCGTCTATGGAGCCCAACTTCTCATAGAGGCAGCCTGTCCCTGGGGAGAGACCCACCCCCGCCTGCCCCATAACCTCCATCACCAACAGCCTGACACCCCCACCTGCCCCATAACCTCCATCACCAAGGGCCTGACACCCCCACCTGCCCCCTAACCTCCATCACCAACGGCCTGACACCCCCACCTGCCCCATAACGTCCATCACCAACAGCCTGACACCCCCACCTGCCCCATAACCTCCATCACCAAGGGCCTGACACCCCCACCTGCCCCCTAACCTCCATCACCAACGGCCTGACACCCCCACCTGCCCCATAACGTCCATCACCAACAGCCTGACACCCCCACCTGCCCCATAACCTCCATCACCAAGGGCCTGACACCCCCACCTGCCCCCTAACCTCCATCACCAACGGCCTGACACCCCCACCTGCCCCATAACGTCCATCACCAACAGCCTGACACCCCCACCTGCCCCATAACCTCCATCACCAAGGGCCTGACACCCCCACCTGCCCCCTAACCTCCATCACCAACGGCCTGACACCCCCACCTGCCCCATAACGTCCATCACCAACAGCCTGACACCCCCACCTGCCCCATAACCTCCATCACCAAGGGCCTGACACCCCCACCTGCCCCCTAACCTCCATCACCAACGGCCTGACACCCCCACCTGCCCCATAACGTCCATCACCAACAGCCTGACACCCCCACCTGCCCCATAACCTCCATCACCAAGGGCCTGACACCCCCACCTGCCCCCTAACCTCCATCACCAACGGCCTGACACCCCCACCTGCCCCATAACGTCCATCACCAACAGCCTGACACCCCCACCTGCCCCATAACCTCCATCACCAAGGGCCTGACACCCCCACCTGCCCCCTAACCTCCATCACCAACGGCCTGACACCCCCACCTGCCCCATAACGTCCATCACCAACAGCCTGACACCCCCACCTGCCCCATAACCTCCATCACCAAGGGCCTGACACCCCCACCTGCCCCCTAACCTCCATCACCAACGGCCTGACACCCCCACCTGCCCCATAACGTCCATCACCAACAGCCTGACACCCCCACCTGCCCCATAACCTCCATCACCAAGGGCCTGACACCCCCACCTGCCCCCTAACCTCCATCACCAACGGCCTGACACCCCCACCTGCCCCATAACGTCCATCACCAACAGCCTGACACCCCCACCTGCCCCATAACCTCCATCACCAAGGGCCTGACACCCCCACCTGCCCCCTAACCTCCATCACCAACGGCCTGACACCCCCACCTGCCCCATAACGTCCATCACCAACAGCCTGACACCCCCACCTGCCCCATAACCTCCATCACCAAGGGCCTGACACCCCCACCTGCCCCCTAACCTCCATCACCAACGGCCTGACACCCCCACCTGCCCCATAACGTCCATCACCAACAGCCTGACACCCCCACCTGCCCCATAACCTCCATCACCAAGGGCCTGACACCCCCACCTGCCCCCTAACCTCCATCACCAACGGCCTGACACCCCCACCTGCCCCATAACCTCCATCACCAACAGCCTGACACCCCCACCAGCTTCGGTCAGGGAGACTTTCACAGGAAGGGATGATGGCGGACGCCCACCCACCGCTGTCCCCGGGGCAGAGCCCGAGCGCCGGGTGCTTACCGGGCCGGCCGCCTTGCTTGGCCAGCTTCACGTACTCTGAGTCCGTGTCTTTGACCCAGTACCTCCGGGTCCCCAGCAGGTGCCCGCCGGGGGTGTCCCGGAGCTCGCTGAGGCCGGGGATCTGGGACATGGGCGGGGCGTCCACAGCCTTCTCCGACCGCTTCACGGGGAGGTGGTAATACCAGTCTAGGGAGAGGAGGCGGCCAAGGTTGGGTCATTGCAGGGAGGTTCGGGTAGGTGTGGCCGCTGCCTGGGAGAGGCTGTGCCAGGAAGGGTCGCATTGTCCCTGGGACCACGGGACGCACATGCTGGGGAGGTGAGACTGACACTCAGATCTGCAGACTCTGAGAAAGGCAGGTCGCCCTCCACATTGTGGGTGGGCCGCACCTAATCAGTTCAAGGAGAAGGACGTAGGAGAAAAGACCGAGGTCCCAGGGGGACGGAATTCAGCCTCCAGCTCCCTTCAGACCCAGGACTACAGCACCGGCTCTGCGGGGCCCAGGCGGCTGCCCACCCTGCAGGTATCGGACCTGCCTGCTTCACAACTGTGTAAGCCCGTTCTTAATCTCTCTCTCTCTCTCTCTCTCTCTCTCTCTCTCTCTCTCTCTCTCTCAACATTCTGTTGATTTTGTGGCTCTGGAGAGCCCTGCCTATACAGCAGGCACACAGGAAACTGGTCTGAATTGACCAATTTGCATCAGCAGACAGGGACTCCGTGAGCAAAAAGGCCCCGTCGACTAAGCAAAGGGCTTAGACATGCGATTTCTCCTTAGAATAGAGCTGGGTTGTTTGCTGCAAAGTGAATATTTAACGCGGAAGTCTTGCCGATTGCCGGAGGACAGTGATTAGCTGCATCGCCACTGCCGCTGCGAAAAGGAGGGAACCCCACTGGGAAGGTGTAAGGAGTGGTAGAATCACACTAAGAATTGCGAGTTTAGGAGCTTCATACGCACGCAGCGCGTGTTCCGGTCAAATCGTTTCTCTCTCAGAGGGAAGGCACTCATGTCTCGCTCCGCTTTCCCTCTCTGTGTCTTGATGACTAATTAACCCACAGGGAACACAGAGTCTCGTTCTTCTCATTACTGGAAGCTTTGGGTCCGCCATTATAACCGGGTGCAAAGGAGCTCAGAGAGCCAGGGCCCTACCCACTGAGCCCCACGGTCACCACCACACACACAACCGAAGGGGACAAGAATCATCTTGCAGCTCTCCTTAGAATAGAGCTGGGTTCGCTGCATGCAAGTGAATATTTAACGCGGAAGTCTTGCCGATTGCCGGAGGACAGTGATTAGCTGCATCGCCACTGCTGCTGGGAAAAGGAGGGAACCCCACTGGGGAAGGTGTAAGGAGTGGTAGAACGCTCCCTGAGAATCACGCTAAGAATCGCGCGTTTAGGAGCTTCATATGCACGCAGCTCGTGTTCCGGTCAAATCGTTTCTCTCTCAGAGGGAAGGCACTCATGTCTCGCTCCGCTTTCCCTCTCTGTGTCTTGATGACTAATTAACCCACAGGGAACACAGAGTCTCGTTCTTCTCATTACTGGAAGCTTTGGGTCCGCCATTATAACCGGGTGCAAAGGAGCTCAGAGAGCCAGGGCCCTACCCACTGAGCCCCACGGTCACCACCACACACACAACCGAAGGGGACAAGAATCATCTTGCAGCTGCTGTCGCTCACAGGTGATGAGTCCTTGCATGGCCCCAGGCCACTGCCTCTCGTGTGGGTTTCTGTGACCGCCCTCCTCTGTTGGCCAGGAGACAGCCGAGGGAGAAGGACCGGGAGGACCCAGCCGGCAGCTCTCCCGTCTCCAAGCACAGAGCTGCGTGGCACAGCCACACCCCACGGGGGCTCCCAGAGACACCGCTCCCCTTGTTTTGGCCGCCGAGGCCTCAGGGAACAGGGGTCCAAGCTGGGCAGAGGGGCCACCTGTGAGGGGTGCGACCTCCGGCAGCATCCTCGGACCCTGTGCCTCAGTTTCCTCACCTATAACCAGGGTTAATGATACCTCGTCGTGCTGTTTTGAGGTTAAATGTTAGTGTATAAAATTGCTTATTTCAGGGCTTCTTCGTATAGGGAGGCCACTCAGTGAGGCCCCAGAGGCCACACATAGGCTGAGAGCCTGTGGCAGAGAAGGGGAAACCGCCATGCGTCCTGTCCCCCTGTCCCCCTCTCCCCCGGTGGTCACAGTCAGAGCTCAGACTGAAGGGTTGCTAGATCACATGAAGGCCAAGTTCTGCCCCACTTCTGAGCAAGAGGCTGAGCTGTCCGCCCCACCCTGCCGCTGGCCGCCAGCTCCTGGATCGCCTCCACCCCCTCTCCAGACCTTCCCAGGATGGGGAGCAACCGCACAAAGGCAAGAACAGCCCTCAGCACCAGGCCTCCTCCTTCCCCTCCGCCCAGCTTCAAACCCTGCTAAGTGCAAAGCCACACCACCTCCGGGGACCCTGGTTTCTGTGTCCAGACACTCACAGCTGGGGACAAAGTTAACTCGGTTCTCTGTTTCCTTTTGTGTCTGAAAATGGGGGGGAAAGGACGATCCCGCCCCCGCCCCCCACATTTCCCTTTCAGCCTTGCTTTGACACCGGGGCACAGGAGCATACACTGTGCCCCTTTCTTCGGGGGTATCACGTGTTGGTCTATCCACAGGCACGCGGGACGCTGGGCGCGGAGCTGTCCAGCAGCAGAGGCTGAGGGCTCCTGGGGCTGGGCACTCACCGCAGGGAGCGTAGCGGCCGGTGGCGCCAGGCAGCTCCTTGCTGGCGTTCCTCATGCCGGGAGACACGCGGGGTCGGTGTTCGCGATGAGCGGGGAAGCAGGGAATCCGGAGACACGCGGGGTCGGTGTTCGCGATGAGCCGGGAAGCAGGGAATCCGGAGACACGCGGGGTCGGTGTTCGCGATGAGCCGGGAAGCAGGGAATCCGGAGACACGCGGGGTCGGTGTTCGCGATGAGCCGGGAAGCAGGGAATCCGGAGAC